CTAAGCCACAAGCTCTCCTCCCTTATCAGCTGAGCCAAGGGAATGATTAAATGTTTTTTTTTTTTTGCCAAAGCACCTAGTATGCCCAAATATGGGAGGGAACATACTGCATGTATACTTCAACCAAACTTGGAACACAGATGACTTACCTTCTGGAAACAAATACTGGGCCGGGGGGGGGGACACCCCTGGGGGGTGGGTATGGGTGTCTGTGGGCGTGTGTTCCAGCATAACTCTGGAACGCCTGGCCCGTTAAGGAGAACGAGTGGGGCGTCCTAGAGGAAGTTGCTGTCATCACTCCTGGTTTGCATTCTGCCTGACAGTCCTGTGTCCTGGTGAGCATTTCTTAAGGCCCGACTAGTGTGGGGAGCCTCAGAAAGCAGGCAGGGGAGAAATCCTGGCTCAGCGGCTGGACTTACCCAGGTAAGGAGTGTGAGTGGCGCCAAAGAAATAGGTCCGGGAACAAGCCAGGGGTCCCTTGGGGGAGACACACTGGACCACCTGTGGTTGAGAAGCACAAAATGGACTGGTCAGTTAGGACCTCCACATCCGTCTGTCTGTCTGTCCGTCCCTCCCTCCCTCCATCCATCCATCCATCTATCTATCTATCCCTCTATCTACCATGCTTCCCCGAAAATAAGTCAGGGTCTTATTTTCTTTTGACCCCCAAAATAAGTGCTTGGCCTTATTTTTGGGGAGGTCTTATTATTTTTGAGGCGCAGGAGGCGGTGAGTGCGGTCACCTCGTGGCTGCTGCTGTGTTGCGATATTATCGGGGAGAGTTTATTTCAGATCATGCGCTCAAAAGCCCAATTGGGCTTATTATCTGGGAAGGTCTTATTTTCAAGTAAATAGGGTATCCATCTATCCATCTAACTAACTAACTAACTAACTAACTAACTAACTATCCATCCCTCTATCGATTTACAGTATCCCTCTATCCGTCTGTCCGTCTGTCCATCTGTCCATCTATCTATCTATCCATCCATCCATCCATCCATCCATCCATCCATCCATCCATCCCTCTATCAATTACAGTATCCCTCTATCCCTCTGTCCGCCTGTCTGTCTGACTGGCTGGCTATCTCTCTCTCTCTCTCTCTCTCTCCCTCCCTCCCTCCATCCATCCATCCCTCTATCGATTTACAGTATCCCTCTATCCCTCTATCCATCTGTCTGTCTGTCTGTCTATCTATCATCTATCTATCTATCATCTATCTATCATCTATCTATCCAACCATCCCTCTATCTATCAATTTACAGTATCCCTCTAGCCCTCTGTCTATCTGTCTGTCTGTCTATCTATCTATCATCTATCTATCATCTATGTATATCTATCTATCTATCTATCTATCTATCTATCTATCTATCTATCTATCTATCTATCTATCTATCTATCTATCATCTATCCATCCATCCATCCCTCTATCTATCCATCTACAGTATCCATCCATCCATCCATCCATCCCTCTATCCTTCCCTCTATCTATCCATCTTCGCAGCTTGAAGACGAGTGAACTTCAACTCCCAGAATCCCCCAGGCAGCGAGGCGCCAGGGCTCCCCCAACTGCTTCTGAACATGTCAGCTTACCATGTGCTTGGCGACGCTGCCAGCCAGGCCCGTGTTGCGAAGCAGGTGCCCTTCCGAGGGGAAGCTGAAATTGCCCGAATTCAGGTTTTCTTTGGACGAGTGGGTGCCGAAGAGCGCAAACGGTTGCCTGCTGGGGCTGATCAGACACAGAAAGAACAAATGATACACCTCCCTTCTATGGGAAGCCAAAGCGCTAAGAAAAAAGGCCACGGGTCGAAACGGGGAAAGAGAGAGAGATTTAAAAGCGCAATACCGCAGCAGGAAAAATTGGCAGGGGTTGGAAAAACATCTTTTTCCCGGTAGCCATTTTTAAAAATTTATTGGATTAAAAGTCCCACATTTTCTTGGGTTGCTGCTTATGTCAACAGAAGCGCAGAGGGGATGGAGGCGAAAGGACCAGGATGGGGAAGCTATGGC